GTGATTCCACATACATTTTCAAAATATTTGTTAGAGTTCTGTGAAATATATCATTGGAACTTTGATAGCAATTGCATTGAATCTATAGATTGCTTTGGGTAGAGAGAAGGCTCCCAAACTCATGAGGCCAGCATTATCCTAATTTCAAAAGCAAACAAAGACACTACAAAGAAAAAAATTATAGGCCAAAATCCTTGATGAACATAGATACTAAAATCCTCAAAAAAAATATTAGCACACTGAATATAGCAATGCATTAAAAAGATCATAAAACATGATCAAGTAGGATTTATTCTGGAAATGCAAGGTTGGTACAACATTTGCAAATCAATAACTGCAACTCCCCATATAAACAAATTGAAAAATATAAAACACATAATCATATCAATAGATGCAGAGAATGTGTTTGATAAAATCCAACACCTATTTGTGATAAAAAAAAAACTCTCAGCAAAATGGGATTACAGGGAACATATGTGATCATATATGACACACCCACTGCCAGCATCATATGCAATGGGCAAAAACTACAGACATTCCCCTTATGATCAGGAACAATGATGTCTGCTTTCACCTCTCTTATCCAACATAGTACTGGAAATCCTAGTCATAGCAATGAGACAAGAAGAAGAAATAAAAGGAATCCAAACTAAAAAGGAAGAATAAAACCATCATTATTTGCAGATAGAATCTCAAAGATTCCACCCAAAAACTATTAGAACTCATAAATGAATTCAGCAATGTAGCAGGATACAATATTAATATCTTAGAATCAGTGGCATTTTTGTATGCCAAAAATGAACTAACAGAAAGGGAAATTCAGAAAACAATCCAATCCACAATTGCTACAAAAAGAATACAATACCTAGGAATAAGGCTAACCAAGGATGTAAAAGACCTGTACTTGAAAAATTATAGGACATTAAAGAAATAAATTGAAAAAGATACAAAATAAGTGGAAGGTCATGGATAATTTTAAGACCCTGAAGAAAAAAATTGAAAAAAAAATACAATTTTTAAACAGGAGACATGGGACTATCCATTGGACCATGTGAGGACCATCAATCATTGGATGCCTTTTGCCAGAGATTGGGTTTAGTATTCCCACTCAGTTTTGGTTAGTACTTACAATCAATCAGCAAATTACATATTTGTGAAAAATACTAGGGTTCATGTCAAACACTTAAGTGAGGGGTGATTAGTTCTCAAGCACTTGAGTCATATGCTTTTTCTACTATGCCACTTATATACTGGGAGTGTGTGGGTGTGTAGGGGGGCAGATTGTGACTCATCCAACCCCAGTAAGCATGAGCCTTTGGGTCTTAGCACATACAACCAAAGGAGAGGTTAACCTCTCAATAGTGATGCACACATTTTCAGAAAATATTCCAGGGGGAAGGCTGAACAAGTTATACCAATGGCAGAGGAAGTTGGTAGAGTAGGTGCAATAGTCAGCTTTTAAAGACAACTAGGAATATATTTATGCTTTTTATTATACATCATTATCTGATAGTTTTCTCATATTTGGCTCTAGATATGGAAATCAACATTTGTGAGGACTGTCCATGTATTTTAAAATTATGAATAGACGAAGTTATGTACAGTTTTTTCTCAACTTATTTAATGTTTGTTGTTGACGCAAGTGAGAAATGTCTTGGGCCAATAAAAAAATATATACATATACTTCTCATCTAAGAAACTGTCAGTGAGTGTTTTCACTGAACAGAACACAATTATAGATGTGTGCAATCAATTAAATTTCATTATTTTTATTTGGCAAATCTTAAAATCAAGGGCTTTTTCAGCAGGTTTGAACCTAAAAAGTATTGTGTTAGAATTTATTTTTTAGAGATCAAATTTCACTTTAAATTCTTATATGGGGACTCTTCTGAAGAGTTAAGGAGCTCTTCTAAAAGGAAATAATCACATGTAATTTAGCTGTTTGATAAACTTAGATTTTTTTTACACTCATATTTCTTTGGATAAGTAACATATGTTTGGGTCAAGTTGTTACAACACCAGTTAGTACAAAAAAATCATCAAATTTTTTAAAAAGTTTCAGTAAGTGGCTGTTGTTTTTGTTATTATAAAATAATTTCAGAACCACCACCAAAGTCCTAGAGATAATAGTAGAATCTCATAATGCCTGTCTCCTAATGGGATTTGTCATGTTTTCCAAAATGCACCAATACCAGTAAAATTCATGATTGGAAATTGACTTGTTCTTGAATGATGGGTTCAATGTTTATAGATTTTTCAATAACAGAAAAGTAAGGAGAAAATCCGGCAATTTTCTAAATAAATAAAGAAAATTAAAAAAAAAAACGATCCAGGCAAAAAAAAAATGCAGGAAAATGTGTAAACTAAAACAAACATTTTAAGAAAAAAAAAGAGCATGTTGCTCCTTATAGCAAGAATTTTTGTTATACTTGTGAATGAAAAAATATTTAATTCGCAGAATCTATATAAAGGTAAGACATGAGTGTGTTGTTGTTGTTGCTGCTGCTGCTGTTGTTGTTGCTGTTGTTATTGCTGTTGTTGTTGTTTAAACAAGCTAAAAGGAGAAAATGGCAAAAAGCACCCTGGCCAGTGTGGCTCCATTAGTTGGAGTGCCATCCCATGCACCTAAAGGTCACAGGTTCGATTCCTGGTCAGAGTACATGCTTAGGTTGAGAGTTTGATCCCCAGTCCAGTCATGTATGGGAGGCAACTGATTGATGTTTCTCTCTCACTGTGATATTTTTCTCTCTCTCTCCCCATCTCTTTCTCTCTTTTTTCTCTCTCTCCCCCCATTTCTTCTCTCTCTAAAATCAATTAAAGTATCTGTGAGTGAGGATTTTTATTTTAATGTCAGAAAGGATTTACCCTATGAAAGAGAAATGAAGGCAGGAGTGAGGGAAGAGGTTAGGAAGTTGTGCCAAATAGGGTTGTAGAGACCAGGAGGTCAAGGAAAAGCTCTTGTATACAAATAATTCTCAGCAAGTAGGAGGTATGTGTGTCACCATTGAGCAAGCAAGGCAGAGCTCATGGAATACTGGAAACAGGTGAAAAATAGATAATAGACTCTGTGCAATAAGAATCATAATCACAGAAAAGAGAAAGTGGACCTTGATCATCAAGGGCATTATCTGCCTGTGTGCCCTTGGATCTCTCACTGGAGATAGGCCAGGACACATCATTTGGACCAGGCTGTATCAGTTCTCAGGAGACACAAGTCATAACTGGAGCCAGCACTAACTGAACAGGCTATTTATTACCAATTGATTTGAATGGGGTTTGTGCACGTCGTAACAAACACCATTCAAAATCAGAAAGCTGGTTACACTTATCAAAAATACCCAAATGTTTTGAGACAGATCCCTCATTTCCTAGTGAATATGCTAGCCTTTCACACCTGGAGAGAGAAAAAAGTATCAACTCAGGATGTGTAAGTCCCTAAGAAGAGGTAGTATGGATTTAAGTTCTCAAAATAGTAAGAATGTACATCATATCAATTTGCCCTTTTGCCTAACCTCAGTAATTTAAGTGAAGAGAACAAAACCATAGAAAATACTGTACATGAGGAAGAAAAGTCTTCAGGAAATTAATCAAAGGGGCCAAACTCCTTCTCCCAATGCAAATTACAAGAAAACTCACACATACATTTAAGTCCTTGGATTCCTACTCTTAAGGATCTTGGGGACAAGGTATAAGTGAATATACTTTTTTTCTAAGCTCTATTAGAATTTGAACTACTAAGCTTTTATGAACATAAAAAAGATACCCTTGTGTTATTAAACTCTACCATGTAGTTGAATACAATAAATATAATTCAGGCTATGTCTTATTTTTTTCAAAATTGGATTGAAAGCAATAATTTTTGTAATAATCTGACACTAGTTCACTAGGTGCTTTGCCAAGTTTGAAGGAGCTGTGGAAACAGTACATAAACACGGCTTCACTTCTTCCTCATCCTTTCCATCACGCTGACAGTTTTCCCAAGAATCATTACCAGCATGGTTTGTTCCATTAAAGATAAGAGGCTATCTTGTTTCCACTAGAAACTTCTATTTTCCAGACTTTATAACTCATTTATAAATATTCAGTCCAGGCAACAGTTTCATATAGTACAAGTCTGTGTCTCAGAATCCATATTGACTTAACTAAATGATTTTTAGAAATGATGAGGACTTTTACACTACTATAAAAAATAAAAAGAAAAATCAAATGCACATAAAGTACTATGTTTTAGTGGGTATGATTTAAAACAAAATACCGTGGAATCTATAAACCACATGCACATAACTCTTTCTTAGCAATTCTATCTTTCAAAGTAGAATTCATTTGTAATAAAATTCATTGCATTATATACAGGCTATTAATTCAAATTATGCATTTCTAATCTATTTGTTTCTATAAAGGTAACTAAATTTGAAATTATATTATTTCAACTAAAACTTGTGTAGAACTTTCTATTATTAGTCATGCTCTTTTTTGTTACAGAATTTGAAATGGAATTATATCAAAAGCTATGAAATTATATAACATAAGCACTTGAATATAATAATATCCTTAATATTTCTAAATACATTTAAGACATTAGTATTTTATATTCAGATGGTAGATCCATGAAACAAACTTTCAGCATTCTGGATTTGTCTTCTACCTAAAAGAGAGTATATCACAACTTTAATGTTTTTATCAAATAAGAGGCCAAAATATACTTCTTACCCCATCTGGAAAGATAGAATTATAAAGATTAGGAAACAAAGACTAAAATTACATCAACCCATTAAAATGAAACACTTCCTTCTTAATCTCATCATTTTAAATTTTGTACCTTCAGATTCACACTGCTTGAATTAAATGCTCTTCTCATTCCACTGCTGAGCCAGCTGCGTAAAATGCTATTTATCAAGAATAAAAATTTTATTGCAAGAATTTCTCTTGTGTTTTGGCTTTATAGTATACGTATGCTCAAAGACTAACCTAAAATTGATTTCTTTGTTCTTTTCACACAGTTATTTTGTGACAGTAAAAAGGTGGCACATGCCACAGAGGGGCTGGATTGGGAAGACAAAGATGCTCCAGGGACACTGGTTGGGAATGTGGTTCACTCAAGGATCATCAATCCTCTGCGCCTGTTTGTTAAACAGTCTCCAGTCCCAAAGCCTGGACACGTGGCCTATGCGGAAAGCATGGAAGACTTCTGGGACTGGCTTGCCAACATCACGGAGGTTCAGGAGCCATTGGCAAGAACTAAGCGGAGGCCCATAGTAAAAACGGGAAAATTTAAGAAAATGTTTGGATGGGGTGACTTTCATTCCAACATTAAAACTGTTAAACTCAACCTCCTGATCACAGGGAAAATTGTCGACCATGGAAATGGAACCTTTAGTGTTTATTTCCGACATAATTCCACAGGCCTGGGCAATGTTTCAGTAAGTTTGGTACCCCCCTCCAAAGTGGTGGAATTTGAAGTTTCCCCACAGTCTTCCTTGGAAACCAAGGAATCCAAATCTTTCAATTGTCGCATTGAGTATGAAAAAACAGATCGGGCGAAGAAGACTGCCTTGTGCAACTTTGACCCATCGAAGATCTGCTACCAGGAGCAGACTCAAAGTCATGTGTCTTGGTTGTGCTCCAAGCCCTTCAAAGTCATTTGCATTTACATTGCCTTTTACAGTGTTGATTATAAACTTGTGCAAAAGGTCTGTCCTGACTATAACTACCATAGTGAGACTCCTTACTTATCTTCTGGCTGAATCTTTCCACAGTGATAGAAATGAGGGACCAATGTATATTTAAATAGAATGACCAACAGCAAAGCCCAACTGTTCATGGTAAAGGGTCCCTTTTGTTTCTGGCAGTGAACCCTAGTTCCTTAATAGGTTTATGAATTTAAAAAAAGAAAAGTAAAAGAAACCTCTAAATGTAAAGTGTGTTTGTTTTGATCATAAGTACCTTAATGTAAAGAATCAAACTGTTTATGAAGCTACCACTTTCATGTAGGATGGCTAAGTTCTCAGAATGTTGTTTCTCTAAAAGAAGCATCAGTGGAAGCAACTTGTAACAAGGAAGAATTGAATTATGCATGTGATAAACACTGCTCTTGAAATGAGCCTGCCTTGAAATATGTTTTGGAAGCTTACCCTAAAAATAGCAGATTCAGTAAAGTAACTGAAAAAATTCTCTTTGATGAATTTCATTTCAAGTTCTTTTTTATTGCTATCGTTCTCCCCACATTTGTGCTGTTACTGATATGAGAGATGAAGGGGTAAAATTTGTTTCAAAACTTGTGTGTGAAGTTTCAGTGCCACAGTAGAACTAAACACATCATTATCTGAGTTCAAGTTCAGCAGATATGATTTAAACACTAAGCCCTATGTTGGTCACCGCCCTTATAAGTCTCATCTGAGGAGTAATATTGGTGTATTGGGAAAGCAAATCTGGATATAAACAAATTCAACAATAATTAAGAGCATGATGTTTTTAGATTCTTTTGCCAAATTCAGTGCTGTGAGGGATTGTCAAAGTGTCATAACTCTATATTCTCCCCATAACCTATACCCTCATTCTATTTATTTGGGAGGACGATTTTTATATACATGTGTGGAACAACTCCAAAATGGAGAGAAATTATTGTTTCCTAGGCTAAGAGGGGGGAGAAAAATTTGAAGTGGAGGGAAGAAATTCCAGAATTATGGATTCATTATGTCTAGCCTTCCAGGTTAAGTTCTCCTTGCATTGTTAATTATTTGAGTGAAGAGTCAAATTCAATGTGGAAATAAAGAATATATTTGAACACTAGCAATTACCATTAAGTGCTAATAACCAAGATACCTGACTCACCAGGCTTTTGAAATTATTTACAAATTAATATTTCTTCGCAGTCATGTCTTCCCACATTCCCTAAGGGGGTGGGCAGTCATCCTGATTTGTAGAACTGGGCGATCTCACAGCAAGCACAGAATGAGTCTGAGTGACCAGTAAAAGGGTTTCTAGAACTTGTTAATACTCATAGAATGGTAACATTTTTTACATGTTAACTTTTGTATGTTAATATTCCCCCCTTTCTTATGTGTAAAATATAAGTTAAAGTAAAACATTAAATTGAAGACTAGAGGAAAACCAGTCTCAACTAACAAAAATGCCACATCACTGAAAAAGCCAACAGCTCTATTCTCTGTTTTGCATCTCCATCCCTTTCCTTTTCCTGCTGTCCACTCAGTGTTTGATTTTTGTCTTTTGTAAAAATTGTACTAGGCTTAGTGTGTGGTAGTACATGCTTGAAGTTTTTGCTCTGAGTTCCTCAGAGGCTTTTGCAATTTTGTGGTTGGAGTGAAATATTTTGAGATTTTTTTATTTTCATCTACAAGCAAAATTAAAATACAGTTTGTTGTAAAATATGTGGGAACCATAAATGTATATATACTTAGAATTTTCTGTGTACAGAGAAAGTATGTGTACACATTTCTTTGTAAATAAAAATAATTTACTAAATCTGTCACATGACTTCAGGGTACTTTTTAAAAGATTGTTCTGGGGGTTTTTTTTCCTCACAAGTGTTTATTGTGTATGTATGTGTGTGTATGCAATACCAACTGAGCATTAAGATTCTCCATATGTACGTATTAAACAGAGCAGCTCAGCTATGGAGATTATAAAGTAGAGTAAAAGGATAATTTATATAAAGCACTTGGCACACAGCCTGACATGTAGTAAGAACTCCATAGTGTGAGTTGCCTTTATGATTATTATTATTATAACATGAAATGAGATTTAAAGCCATCTGATATTCAAAAGTTGAGTGATAAAATCATTATATCGATGCAAAGAAAAAACACTAAATCAGTTTACATGAGTTTTAGATTTTAGCAAGGCTTTAAAAAAGAGGAAAGTTTCCCTAAGCATACTTTTAAATGGGAGTAGAACATATGCCACATATAATTTTTGTCACAACTCCATTTCAAAGCCTACATAATTGTCAGTAATGGTGCTTGGCACAATATAAATCAGATTCCGTTTAAACATGCAAATGTACACATTTCTACAAAGCCATTATTGCCTTTGAGTACTGCCATGAAGGCAAAGGATATTCATGTAAGGCAATCTTACACTAAATCACCAATTGTTCAAATTATAAAGAACAGATCCTTTAAAATGAAAATTAAATTAATGTATTAAATACTTGATATGAATATAATGTCATATGTCAATATACCTCAATAAAATCTTTTTGAAACTTAAAACAACAATAAAAGCAACAGAGGCAGAAATGTAATCTTCAGGGAGATGCCAGGCATCTTTTCAGAGTCCCTCAAGGCCTGCTATTTACTAAACAGAAAACTCATTTGAGGACCTTTTCACCCCTCAGCAGAAACAGTCTTTTTACCAATCACCACACAAATGAGAAAAGAGACCATATTACTATGACTAAGTACAATGTGATCACACCAGCCACAGACACTGTCAAATCTAGAGAAGAGAAATAAGAGAAAGATCCTGTGGACAGCATGTGGCAAAGCAGCTGTATAAAAGAAACAACTTTCCTCTTACTTTGTTGTACTTGGAATTTCAACATATTCTCATGATCTAGAATAACAACAGCAATGAGTGTGGTTCTCTGATGCAGACATTCCTAAGAGCACCTGACACATATTACATTACAGTCTTTATTTTATAACAGTCTTTATTTTTCTTCTTTACTTCATATGACCCAGATGCCTGCATGCTACATTTTAAGCATGATTGCTCCATTTTAAACATGCCACATTGGGCTAAATCTGTCCCCACTCAAGAGATGGTTCTGCTGGGTTGGGGCTGCCATTATGGCTATTCAAAATGTGGTACTCAGATCACCAATATGACCTGTAATGTAAGCTTGTTAGAAATGTAGAATCTCAGGTTCTACCCCAGAACACACTGTATTGTAATTTGCATTTTAATAAAATCCCTGTGTGACTTGTATAAACATTAAAAACTGAGAAACACTACCCTAGAAAGTCTGATTTAGTGAAAGTGCTGTAGAAATTAAGAATCTACATCATACAAACCACACTAAGTTATGTGGACTTCTGACAACACTCTAAAATAAAAGTTAAAGGAATGGACCCTTTTAAAAACAAACTTAAACTAAAAGATTGTGAACCACATAAAGAAAAGTGATCAACCTGTATGGAAGAGTAATATTGCAATGAGAGTGCAGCCTGCAGTGTCTTTTAGTTCAACCCCTTCCTTTGACAGACAAATAAAACTGTGGCCCCATCAGAGTAAAGGACATGCCCAGCAATAAGTGACACACCCAAATGAAATGCAGGTCTCCTGACTCCTAGTCCCAGGTATTATGTCATATAAAATAGCCAAATTAAAGCAGATATTCAAGACAAAACAAAAATAACTGCAGTGAGTTCAAATCAAGACATACTCCAGAAGCCAAAACTAAAGATGAAAGTGACTGGAAATGCTCTCTTTCCAAAATCTTCAGGACTGTAATTTCTCTAAAAACACAAAATTCTTAAAATCTAAAACTAAAAAATAAAGTCAGGATAGACCCATTATATTCAAGATAAGAGTCCTGGGTATTAGAGATATGAATGACTAAAAATTAACAGTTGAATCCTACATTTGGCAGAATTTTCAAGTGATTAAAACACCTAATAATGTATTTTCATAGAAAAAGGTAAATTGTGTGAAATGTCTTAATTCCCCAAAGGTCTAATTCTACTTCATAAAGAATCTTAAATTAATTAATTGGTCTATAAAATTGAAGGCAGAGTTATGCATTTTTATTTGCAATAAAACTCTAGTTAACACCCAGTTAATTAATCAGAACTTTCAATGAATAGAAATTTAGTATCTTCAATTGCAAGAGACAAATCACAGAGAAACAAACTCGTGTTAAGAGGTTTGTTCTTTATACAAATTGTATAGATGATATTCATGAGTAATTTCAAGGGGACAGTGGGGGGAAGGGTTTTCAGGAACTAGTATAAAGGACATATGGACAAAACCAAGGGGGAGGGTGGAAGCAAGGGAGGGAGGTGGGATTCACTAGGGTTGGGGGGCAGTGGTAGGGAGGAAATGCAGACAACTGTAATTGAACAACAATAAAGTAGTTAAAAAAACAAAGAAATTTTTTTAAAAAGTAATTTCATTTTCACCTGCATCTCCTACCCAATACTGTGAAGTCTCTAGCCATGGAAACACATCCCATCCTTCATTTCCAGTCTTCTCTCTGTTCTTCATCCAACTCAGCTTCCCCATAGGTAGTGCATAATCTATTCTCAAAAAAAATAGATTAATTTCTTTGTGCCCTCCACAGCACCTAGCAAAGTGTCTGCTATGTAGGAGGTACTTGTTCAATATCTGCCACCTGATTTCTAAAAAATCTCCAGTGCAATACAGTGACTCTTTAAGACTCCACTCTACCCACATAATGGGTTATCTTGCACCATTTTCAACACAAACATACTGCCCCATCTGAATCCAATGCCAATTGAATGTGAGCTCATAGAACCACAGAACCTTAAATACTGGAAAACATTTTAGAAATTATCTAGAATAAGTTTTGTTTATCAGATAAAAGAGGCTTGATGAGGTTTAACAGCTTGGTGATTCTTACTGTTCTTCCTGCTGGGTCAAGCCATTCTTTCCCTTCTTTGTTCTTCCAAATCACTGATGTTCCCTATTTGTGATAGAAACTGTCATCTATCTACTAGAATAGATCTTCCTTCTTCCATTGCAATGGAAAGGTCAATTATGTGGCCAGCTAACTAGGTTGCATACCCTATCTCATGTGGTGAGATGTGGCCTTGTTACTGAGCTTCAGTAATGAAACAGGAGAGAGGATATGTACGCTATCAGAACTCATATATAGAGACCCATATTTATAGACTCTTATAAAAGTGCCCTCATGCTCTCTGTGCTCTTCCCCTTTCGTGGTCTCTGAGTGATGCCCTGAGGGACCTGAGATGCTGCACAGTGAAGGAGGCAAAGCCCATTCTAGTGTCTTTCTGACCATGAAAGAGAGCCACTCTGCTAAGCAAAGCCCACTC